CAGCAGGAATGGAGGGAGATATGCGCATTTCCCCTTTAAGTACACTGCCTTGTTAATTAGATCAGCTTGCTGAGACCGCAGCTGCTGCAAGCTCCCTCCGTCCTGAGCCCTGGTGTGTCCCCCCTGCTCTATGGAAGATGGGGTAAGTGGGGTGCAGGAGCAGGGGGGAGGGGGACACCCTGACATTAGCCCCCCTCTTCCTTCCCTCCCCCCCCCCGCACAGCAAGCAGGAGTCTCGGGGAGCAGCTCCAAGGCAGAGGGCAGGAGCAGCACATGGCAGTGGGGGGAGGGACAGCTGCAATTGCTAGCCTGCTGGGCAGCTGCTGCACAGGGAACTTAGGGGAGCGAGGAGCTGATAGGGGGCTGCTGGTCCACCCTGGTTCCAAGCCCACAGGCTGCTCTTCCTGCAAGCAGTAGACAAAGCAGGCAGCTGCCAAACAACGTTAGAAGGGCGCATTACACAACTTTAAACGAGTATGTTCCCTAATCAACGTTAACCGGGACGACTTTAAGTGAGGAGTTACTGTATTTGGATAATCTAGTTTTTATTGTAATAATACATGCCAACCAAAATATACTATGAGGCAAGTGGCCGTTTTGGATATCCAAGTACCTTAGATTTATTCTTCATACTCTAGCACTTTCTTTAGATGTTGTTGGTGTTTAATACAGTTCTGAAAATCTTGAGAATTTAAGTGAATAGTGGCTTCTTGGTGCCCAACTTGAGGCACTTTAGAGGCCTGATTTACAGAAATTGCTGAGCACCCACTCTCTGAAAATCAGGTCCTTTTAAGGCATCTTGAGTTAGACACCCAAAGCAACTAGACACTTCTGAAAATCCTGGCCTACAACTTTTAAATAAGAAGAAAAGTTATCTTTAAATTGAATTTGCTACCAACCATCCACCCCTCCTTTTGTGAGTCCTTGGTTTTATTTTTAACTTTTTCCCCCCCAAAGGTAAGATGATTTATGAGTGTAAGGACTTGTTCTAAAAATAGCATGTGGAGTTGTTTTTCTTACAGCCGTTGATGTTTACATGAGTTCTAACTATGCTGCTTGCATGAAAATGAATGTTAGATCAATGAAAACAGGATACGGTGTTCTGCAGTCAGTGTTTCAGAACGTTCAATAAGGACCTGCTTTTGCAGAACTGGTGTTTGTTTCCATAGGGATTGGAGTGAGCTGCAGCAGGTTTGTTAGATCTCTCTTAAACTTCATTTGCTGTATGGTGACAATGCCAAATGTCTGTCTCTTTTTCAGAAAAGCAGCTGTAGTCAAAGATGCAAAAATGAATAGTAAGTTTAATAAAAAACAAAAAAAGTCTTTTGCTAAATTCTGAGTCCTGGTACCTCTGTAACTCATCAGAGACGCATCACCTAGCTGGATTCTGCAGGTGCTGAGGCTACTTGTGCTCAGAAGAAGGAGCTCCCTGCCTTCCAAGGCAGCGATGTGGCATGTATGGCCCTGTATAGAGGAGAAGAACGAGGTGTGTTTACCAAATGTGCTAGCTAGTATAACCCTTCTGCCAGTTGGTGTTGGCAGCAACAAAGGCCAGGTTCAGTGTCTGGGGGTTATTTTTAGCATTACAAAACAGAATGGCTCCAGCCCCACCCAGGAACCTGGGAAAACTGAATACAGCATGGGGCACCTCCTGTAAGGCAATATACCCCCATTCGCAAGCACTGAGTTTGTGCATAACAAAAGAAGACTTTTGAGGGGAGAGGGAACTCAGCTTGATTTGGGAAAAAGATTGCAACAGTGACTCAGAAGTATGCAAACAATAAGTAAAACACCCCACAATATCTTGAGCAGTTTCTTTGCTGCAGTTTCCTAACTTGCAGTATGAAAGTCCAAGGTCCGTTTAACTCCCCCTTTCCCTCCTTCACACCCCACTCACAATTTCTTGTCTGAGGTCAGTCAAGCCTGAGTGTCCAGAGGTTCGTTCATGTGGCTTCACCTCCACTCACTGGGTGAGGGACAAATGATGCCGCCACCATCACCACTGCTCTGCTGTATCCTAGTCTGATCCTACAGCACCATGACCACTTAGCTCAGCTAAGTAATCACAGTTCTAGGATTTGCTAGGTAGGGGAGTGACTTTGCTGCTGTTGCATCTCTTATTGCACTGCATTTAGCTGCAATTCCACGCTCTGATGGTCCACCACTTAGGCCTTGGCTACACTTGCAGATGTACAGCGCTGTGAGTTAAACCTGACTTCGTGCAGCTGAGTAGGGAAAGCGCTGCAGTCTGTCCACACTGACAGCTGCCCAGCGCACTGTCGTGGCCACATTTGCGGCAATTGCAGCGCTATTGGGAGCGGTGCATTATGGGCAGCTATCCCACAGAGCACCTTTTCCCATTCTGGCGCCGTGGGTTGTGGGAAGGGGGCGTGGGTGCGGGGGATTCTGGGTCCTGTCCCAATGCCCCGTGCTGCATCGCTTCACATCCCAGAAATCCCTTTGTTTCCGTCCATCTTTGGCGCCATCTTTCAACGGTTTCTGTGCAGCGTGATCTGTCTGCGGGAAATGGAGTCCGAACTGCTGAGGCGTATGCTGACGAGTCTCGCCAGCACGTCACGTTTGGCTGTCGAACTATTCCTTAAGATCCAAAGTGAGGGTGAGGAGTCCGACGATGCTATCGAGCCGCGTAACGCATACGACACGAAATTGTTTGTGGCATTCACGGACATGCTCAGCACCGTGGAATGCCGCTTTTGGGCTCGGGAAACAAGCACCGAGTGGTGGGATCACATCGTCATGGAAGTCTGGGATGACGAGCAGTGGCTGCAGAACTTTCGGATGAGAAAAGCCACTTTCATGGGTCTGTGTGAGGAGCTTGCCCCCACCCTGCGGCGCAAGGACATGAGATTGAGAGCTGCCCTGCCAGTGGAGAAGCGGGTGGCTATTGCAATCTGGAAGCTGGCAACTCCAGACAGCTACCGGTTGGTCGCAAACCAGTTTGGAGTGGGAAAGTCGACCGTTGGAATCGTGTTGATGCAAGTTTGCAAGGCCATTAATCGCATCCTACTCAGAAGAACCGTGACTCTGGGTAACGTGCAGGAAATAGTGGATGGCTTTGCACAAATGGGGTTCCCTAACTGTGGAGGGGCGATAGATGGGACACATATTCCTATTCTGGCACCACCCCACCTAGGATCCGAGTACCTTAATCGGAAGGGGTGTTTCTGTATGGTTGTCCAGGTGCTTGTGGATCACCGTGGGCATTTCATTGACATTAACACAGGCTGTCCAGGAAGGTTTGAAAGCTAGAAGCCTCTGGTAAGTGGCTGAGCCGTAATCAGCCTTTGAGGCCAGGGCAGTAGAGTTTGAACTGATGACGCACGCATCTTTCGGAACACTTGGCTTCCTGATCCTGCCTCCAGTTCTGTTCAGGAAGATGCAGGCCGGGAATGATGACCAGAGTGGCTAGAACAGGCATTGTGGGATACTGCCGAATAATTCTGGAGGCCATTCACAGCGCATTGGGCGGCCACACTGGCGCTGCAGCAGTAGCGCAATATTCACTATTCCTCTCGGGGAGGTGGAGTACATGCAGCGCTGCGACCACGGAGATACAGCGCTGCAAATGCCTTGCCAGTGTGGACGGGGAGTGAGTTCCAGCGCTGGGCAAGCCTTTTACAGCGCTGCAACTCGCAAGTGTAGCCAAGGCCTTAGTGTTTTCAGCTCTTAGTGATTGCTGCAAAGAAACCAGGACTCTTAATTGAGTTTTAATTAGCTCTGTCTGAAAACACTGGAGAGGGAGGGTCAAATGGCAGTTAGGACCTTTAAACAGGATGACCCAGATAGAAACACCTACCCTCCCACCCCACCCTCTGTCCATCACTTGAATTTCGCTCACTGTCCCACGCTGAGCGAATGAAGGTTACATTCACATATAATATGCCATGGATTAGGGCATATTAACTACAGTTCTGCTGCCCTTTAATCATACAATAAGGATAACATTTCATTACCCCTGCATCCAAGGCTTAAGAGAATTTTAACCCAAAACAGGCAAAATTGATTGCCTTGGCAAAGTAGGTCTGCTTCTGAGGCTTTTCCTCCAGTTAAAAACCTCTTGGCAACTATGATTGTGATCAACATTGCTAAGTGGTGTTATGCTAATTAGCACATGTTAGCAAACATGTTAGGTAAACATATCTCCCTTTCCTAGCTAAGACTGCCTCACTCACAGCTCCTCTTCTCCATGCCCAGAGGCAGAGTCCAAGGGTTTATCCAAACACAAACATTTCAAGGTGCTCAAACTGTGTGTAGACAAGCCCTCACTCTGCTCCTCAAGTGTATTGTTAGACATGGAAAGATTAGATTTTTTTGTTTTTGTTTTTTGGTAAACATCAATTTCACTGTAGACATGCAAACTGATTTTAAAAAAAATTGCACCATTAATAATCAAAATTTACAGTTAGGCAAAATAGGAAAAATGCTGTTTGAGAACTGCAGTTTGCTAAGGATATTTACTTTATATATTTTTAACATGTGTTGTTGACAGTTTGTGTTTAACAGTTATAAAGCTTTAATTTTTTGAATCTCCATGTCATTAAATAATTATTGCCCTAAATGCCCAAAGCTTCCTGCAACTGTGAACATGTAAAGTGATTAAAAATTGGAGAAAATATTTAAAAATCAGAATCGATATTCTCCGTCAAAATTTATATTTAAAAAAAAAAAAATCGAATGCTGCCAAGCCTGTGTATTGTCTTCATTTAGACTGCTCACAGGAATGGAGAGCCGCACCGACAGGGTAAACTAAGCAGACCTTTTGTTGAGGTGGTTTTCCCAGTACACGCTCTACTATCAGCAACACAGTTTAGTGCGCACACAGACAGAGCCTGTGTCTCAGGGTCACTTCTGGTGCCTATCTTAAAGGGACAGCGTACCAGTTATCTAACTGTGCATGAATACAGTGCAACAGGGATGCTGGGGGAGGCCGTGAGCATAGGACTGCTGTGAATGAGTGATTTATAACATGACTGTTGTAGCATAGCCTATTGAGACTGAACTTGGCTGACATTTCAAAAATGAAACTAATACGTCCAGGTGAGACGAGGGTCCACTGGGGCAAAGATATTCCCTTCTCTGCTGATTGCTGTGTTGGTATTGCAGAGAGCAGTGCCCCCCCCCCCCCCCCCCTCAAGTCTTCCAGAACTGTTTGGGACCCTACTTCTACTCCTGCAGGAGCTCTGTGGAGGTGAGAAGAGGAGAGTCCAAGAAGGCTGTATGGGGCTGAAGAGGACCTGGGATCTCACTTGTTCAGATAACCATGGGGCCCTGGGCATAAAAGTGTGAAATCCTGACCCCATAGAAGTCAGTGGCAAAACTCCCATTGACATGAGTGAGGCTAGAATTTCACCCAGAGCGTGTATGTTCTCTTTTCTTCCTTACTAGCATTGCTCCCCTCCCATCCCCCCTCTCATTTTTCTACCCTTGTTTGCCGTTTGTCTCTGATCAGGTGCTTATTGGAAGTTCAGTTTTCCGAAGTGATCTTTTGCAGGATAGCCTGGCGCTAGACATATAACGTTTGTGTGTTTAAAAGAAGTCATCAACTTAAAAATCATACTTCTGACTGAAATCTTTTTATGTAAAATGACTGAGTGAGATGAGAAGGAAATACATTTTTCTGTTTGTTTACTTGACAGGATCTTGGGTATAGTCAGTTTCATTGTTTTCCCCTGTATTGTCAGTAAGTTTCTCCTTTGGTTTGTGAGGTTTTACTTTTGTCACACATCAGGGGAGAGAAAAACATAAGAGATGAAATGTGACTGTAAAACCACAAAAGTTTGCAGAGAGCTTGAGGGGCTGATGATCCAAAGGTAGGATGGTCCAGTGGTTAGAGAACTAGCTGGCAACTCTTCCCTGCTCTGTCACGGACTGCCTGTGTAACCTTGGGGAAGTCCATTCAGGGCCAGGTTAACAAAGATATTTAGGTGCCTAAAGATACAGATAGACACCTAGTGGGGTTTTCAGAAGCACCTAGGCACTTGATTTCTCAGTGGGAATTAGGTGCCTAAAAATGCAGATAGGTGCCTAACGGATTTTTCAAAAGCACCTGTGCAGCTAAATACCTTTTAATAATCTTGTCCCTAGTCCCTCTCTGTCTCCATTTGACATCTGTAAAATATAAATAGTACTTCACTTCCACATAGGGGAATTGTTAAGATAAATATACTAAAGATTGAGGTGTTCAAATGCTATCGTGATGGGGCCAAATGAGCACCTAAGATAGCTTCAGGTGCCACACTGTCTGTCTAACTTACTTGCTCTCTTAAATTTACTGGATTTTAAATTGACAGTATTCCTTCAAACCATAAGACTTTCCAGTGGTTGTATTTATGACCTAAGATGTTTCAGGGAAAGGAGAAGTTGACTATTGCGTGATCCAGTCAGGCGGCTGGCTTGACATAAAAATCACAAATGCAAAATCAGCTACGATTGCAATATGAGGGTAATTCAGCAAGTATTGATCTATATTACTGCAACCTCAGATACCATAGCTGGTCATAGAAGTGACACAGTGCTGGATTAGATCTCTTACTCTTGCATTGTTATACCAGATTATTTACAATGGTTTGGGTTTTTTTATAACATTAAAAAAACCCTGAAATTTAATATGCAGGATTTGGTCCTGTACAGAGGAGTAAACTAATGAGATGCCAGTAATATTGTACATAAAGTACAGGAGGGAGCCAGTCCTACCTGTCCTTCAAAGAGTTTCCTGCTGTTTAGTTTGAATTCCATGAAATAACATCAAGCTATCTATTTTCTTTTTCTTTCTTTCTTTTGTTTTTTTTTAAGCAAGAGGGAGACTTTCTTTTTTCCAAGCCATGTGAAATTTTTAGACTCCAGCTCTACAAATATAAGAAACTGAACAAATAATTGTAGTGACTGGTAACCTCCCATTCACTTTTTTTTTTTTTTTTTTTAAAGGACCGTACCTTAACTTTTTAAATAAGATTTGGTGCTGAACTTGACCTTAGATTTACTTTGAAGTCTTCAGGCTAACAAAAGTAGATGTGGAACATGTAGGCATGAAAAGACATACAAGCTATGGTTATCATATATGCCAAAATTCAGTTAAATTGTATGCTGTGTACTGTCTATGAACCCGAGATTCTCATTGACTTCAGAGAGTTTGGATTAGGTCCTGTGTGCATGCACACTATACATTATTTTTATATAATATATACACACACACACACACGTACGTCACCATCAGCAATGGAAAACTGATGAGGTTTATGAATCCATTATGCAGCATTTAATCTGCAAAATTACGTATTTGTTTCCTGGCCTTCTATTGTTTCAGGTTGAAAAGAGCTTTTTCAGTTCCCACATAATTGAAAGAAAAAATCACTGGTCATGGTGGATTTGAATTGTTTGTTCCATAAATAGAGAGAGAGAACAGAGTAGCAGTTAAGAAGATAGCACGGGTTTATTTCACCAGCAGCAGAGGAGGAGTAATACAGAAACTGTATTTCTGAAGAGAGCCATTTCTGCTCTGAGAATTTGTCATTCCCTTGTGCAGCACACTCCAGTGGAAACCGGGAATAAAGTTAATACCTTGCTATTGGAAGTCAGATTCCCCTCCCCCGCTTGTGCATTCCATTGCCAGAAATAGGCATGGTAGGAAGCCAGCATGAAAGGATGAACACGAGCTGGAATAATCGTCATAAAAATGAATATGTTGCTCATGCTATATACAAATAGTATACGTTATTCTCAGCTGTAAAGCTGTCATGAGAATCTGTTTTTTCACATTTTATAAATTAAATGTATATAAAATCCATCTTTTCCCACACTTGCCCATCCCAGTATCTTTCATTAACCAGATCAGTGCAAAAGTGAATGGGCTTAATGCGGCCACAGGGCTAGACCGCATGGATCAGCTTGCAGGAGTGGAGCTTCTGAGTGTTTCTTCACGTTGGGTGGGTCTTTAAAGACAAGTGAGTAAAACAGAGAATAGATTTTTAAGCAGGATTGTTTCTAAACAAATTTAAAATTTTCTGCAGAAAAGCAGCCCAGTTTTAAATTCAGTGACATGCATCAAAATAAATGATTTTGGGATTGAAGGAATGGAATTCTTAAACAAATGTGTTCCTAAAACTTAAGGTAAAATATTATCAAACAAATCATGTACCTGCTCAGTTGTTAAACCTTCAGAGCAATCCTTCCCACTCCTCTCCTCCCCCGCCCCCCCCCAAAAAAAGGAAAATGTAATAAGTATTTGGGCAGGGCTTTGAATAGTACTAGCAACTGATACTCATTCTGTTCTCACTTAGGCTGGTGTAAATCTGGAGTAGCTCCACGGGGTCAATAGTGTTACACTGGTGTAAACCCAGTTTAAGTGAAATCAGAGTAAAGCCCATAGTGCCTTTCATCTTCGCTTCTCAAAGCATTTTATCAAGGTGTGTGGTAGGTATTATCCTCATTTTAGAGCAGGGAAAACTCAGGCATAAAGAGGTTGAATTATTTACCCAGGTGAGAGGGTCCAGAACAGAACCCAGGTGTCCGGACTTCCTAGTCCCTCCTCTAAACAACTTGACCTCCGTTGGAGGGACCTGCCATGCAAGACAGCATGATTTGGTAATGTGACTGGAATATTCTCATTTTTGTTGAAGTTATTTTGTTCTAGGATATTAGAGCTTGAAAGCTTGTCTTTTTCATCAACAGAAGTTGGACCAATAAAAGATATTACCTCACCCACCTTGTCTCTGGAATGTTCTCAGTAATTTAAAGACCATTTAAATTCTCTTATTTTTATTTATTTAATGTCCATTTAACATTCAGTAGATTAATACCCTTGGAGACCGAAGTCCTCCATTCCACTCTGTTTATTCCACAGAAGAGGCATAGCGCATTGCATCAGTACCACCTTTCCTCACTCTTCCCCCAGTATGCCTTGGTCCTTGGAGTGACCACCTCGAGGGGAGAGAGAGAACAGTTTAGTCTCCATATATCATTGTGAAAATGTTGGTTTTAATCCTTGCCCACCCTTTGTGTTGGGTCTGCACTACCGTTGTCTAATTGGAAATGGCTGTGACCACCAAACCTAGATCATTGAACAGCTGTCAGTTGTGAATAGCTTTGGGTGACTACCAGCTTGGGCTGGTGGATTTGAACCCTCATCCTGGAGGTGTACATCTGAATGTCTAATACATTACTGGGGACCTCTAGAAAAGAAAAAATGTGTAAACTATAAACTGTCATACATAGGTCACCTGTTCTGTATCTGTAAAATGGATGCTTGAAATCAACTGAATGTACAAATGCAGTGTGAACAGCGATACTCAGGGTAGTATATTTGGAGTACTTAACTTCATGATTGCACACAGGCCTTTTTTTTTTTTACTAATTTTACTGAAGCCATCCCCCAGTCCTCATTTTTCATGTATTATAGTCGAGCAAAAACCTGTTGACTTAATGAACTAATCTCCTGTTGCAATGGAGAATTGCAAATGGCGTCAGGTGGACATGTTAATATTAACAGCCTCCAACCATCTGTTTTATTTCAGTTGCCAATGAAAAAAACTATGCAATAGGGAGACCGAGAATTGTTAAAAAGGTTAAACATTTTAACAACCAACCAGCTGAGCTAACAACTAGCTGAATTAGTTATGTATCTCTTCTAGATACTGGAGGCTACTAACTTGTCTGTCTACTGGTTTTAGCAACTGTGAAAGCTGTACTAGTTCTCATGTTCTTAGAACTCTCTCCTAATTTGCTAGGATAGTCTGGAGTGAAGAAACTAATCTACCATACTATGCTAGATATTGTGTTCTTTTTAGGGAAGTTAAAATGAAAGCCCCTTCTCAAATTTTTTTTGAGTGACATACTGTCTGAACCATTGCAGTCAAGTACTGATCTACCAGATTGTCTAGTAAGAACATAATAAAAACTTGTCAGTGAAATAAATTGTCCATAAGCAAAGATTGGAAGGATTACCAATTTCTTTTCCCCCCTCCAAAATGGATAATTGTACTTTAAATAATGTAAAGATCCACACCTATGTACTATTTGTAACATTTGTGGGAGGGGGTTAA